TTCCATGCATTCCTTCGATAATGATAGCTGTTTGAGTTAATTGAAGAAGTTATAGTAGGAAGAAATGCATTCATTCATTCGTTCATTCGTTCGTTCGTTCGTTCGTTCATTCATTCATTCATTCATTCATTCATTCATTCATTCATTCATTCATTCATTCATTCATTCATTCATTCACCTTAGCTTCCCTATAGAAACTGTGCTTTCTGGGTGATAGCATTAGCATCTTCAAACATTTTGACATCAATCTCGTTTCGTGGTTTTTTTGTTTGTTGTTGTTGTTGATGACGTCATTATTGATGTTGTTGTTATTAATGTCATTGTTGTTGTTGTCTAGGAATACGTCTTCATCGTCGTAATCATCGTCTTTTCTTTCAACATTCTGTAAGTTAAAAGGAAATAGATTTATATGTTAATCAATCAATCATTCATTCAATCTATCATTCATTTTTCTATTCAATCTTCAATCAATTAGACATTCATTCATTATTCTATTCAATCAATTACTCAATTATTCATTCATTTTTATACTCAATCAATCAATCAATCCACCAACCAACTATTAATTCATTCAACCAATCTACCAACCAATCAAGAAACAGCCTGCAGATAAAAATAACAGCACCTCAATAAAACTCACCTCTTTCAAACTTCCCAATCTTCCAGCACCACCACCACCACTATTACTGCCACCTCCACTACCGTTTACACCGGCACCAGCACATCCCTGTTTTTCCCTAACTGACCCCTCTCTGCCTAATTTCTGCAGTTCGGAAACACGATTCAACCCTTTCAATCCATCCATCAGTAGAAGGAAGTGTTTCGTTCTTTCTTTTTCCATCAGTCTATCAAGTTTCTCGAGCTCCCATTGGTGCTCCAAGATGAGGGAGTCGCTCCTGGGTCTCCAGCCCTACGATAATAATAATAATAACTACAATAATAATAATAACTATAATAAATAATAATAATAATAATAACTTGTAGATTTTCCTCTCCTCTGACGTACAAGGTCGAGGTGTCTAGGACCTTCCTCTGACAACGCTGAGAACCTATTAATAATAATAATAATAATAATAATAATAATAATATAAATAATAATAATAATAATAATAATAATATAAATAATAATAATAATAATAATAGTGATAATAACAACAACAATAATAACAATAACAATAATAGTAATAATAATGGTAATAAAAATAATAGACTGACTGGAGTCTGATCTTTTCTTAAGGGTTAGTTCATAGACGCCTGCAACTTTGTTGCAATCGGGATGCCTGTAGAATCCGTGCTCCAACAGGCTACGTAAGGATCTGAGTGAGTGAGTGAGTGAGTGAGTGAAGGAGTGAGTGAGTGAATAAATGAGTGAGTGAATAAATGAAAGAGTGAGTGAGTGAAGGAGTGAATGATAGATGGATTGATGAGTGAATGAGTATTTGAATGGAAATCGGGTTTCAAATGGAAGCGTAATAATCTTGGTGAAAAGTCGAATGAATTAATGAACGAATGAATTGATGGATGGCTAGATGAATTGATGGATGACTAGATGGATGGATGAATGGATAGATGTGACTGTGTCATCATCATTACCATCATCATCATCATCATAACCTAGCAGCGATAAGTCTGGTGTCACGTGACATGACTAGGAGGCTGATGTCTTTGGTAATACAGACCGGATAAGCGCAGTTCTCCATCTCGGTGGCAAAGAGGAAGATGGTGATGATGATGATGATGATGATAGTGATGATAGTAGTGAAGATTATGATGATGGTGGTGAAGATTATGATGATGGTGGTGAAGATTATGATGATGGTGGTGAAGATAATGATGATGGTGGTGAAGATTATGATGATGTTGGTGAAGATTATGATGATGGTGGTGAAGATTATGATGATGGTGGTGAAGATTATGATGATGATCATGATTACGACAAAGGAAGATTAAAACGATGCCGATCATCAACATCAACAGCAACTTCACCGTCATCATCATCATCATCATCATCAACAACAACAACAACATCATCATCATTACCACCATTACCTCTAGATAAACGGAAACGGTTATGTAAACTTTTTCGCCGCTAGGAGTGATGCGATTGAGGAGGGGGGAGTTGTGAAGGGAGCTGTCCCACGCAGCCTCGCACCGGAAGTAAACTCTAATTGGTCAGTTGATTGATTGGTTAATTGATTGATTAATTGATTGATTGATTGATTTATTAATTTATCTATTGATTGGTTGGCCGTCTTTTTGATAATTAATAAATAAATTAATCACATGCATTTATTCATTCTAATCAGCCACCAGGTTCAATTTTCTCAACACAGCCACCAACAACACCACCGACACACACACGCACACGCTTACACGCACGCACACAAACACGCACGCACACACACACGCACACACACACGCACGCACGCACACACACGCGCACGCACGCACACACGCACGCACGCACACACACAAAACTTAGTCAAGAAAAAAATTTCCAAACATGAAAATAATTAGCAAAAAGACAAACTTGTCATCGTCTTCCTCATCGTCACCCACTCTACATTTTCCTCCCCCATCACCCCCGCCGGCAAAAGAACCAACCCCCAAAACGGAAAACCTTCCACTGCTCCCACCACCACCACCACCACTACCATATTTCTTAATATAGTGCGCCGGAAATAGACTGAGCGATAGTGTGGAATGTTCGTTATCCGGTTCCTCCCACAGCAGGGAATTCCGCACCCTCCCAACTATGACCTCTTCCACCCCCTGCCAGATCATCCCGTCGGATTCATCCTGCACGATGGTCATGGTTATGCGGCGTTGGATGCCCTGGTGCAAGATGAACGTGCCCTCTCCTGGTACCCCATCGCTGGGGTGATCCACGCGGGCCGTCTTGTAACTGTGTCACGGGTTTTTTTTTTTTAAATTTCCATCATCATCATCGTCGTCTTTGTTGCTATCGTCGTCATCAATCATCATCACTATCATTACCACCATCACGATCATCATCAACACCATCTTCTTCATCATCATCACCATTCACTCACTCTCCGTTTGAAGACATTTCTTGGATCTCAAACCAGACCAACAAGTCGGCCTTCGAGTGCACGTGACTGGTTCTTGGTGATGATGATGATGACGATGATGATGATGTTCGTTCTAATTATCACTATTATCATCATCATCGTCATCGTCAACAGCAGTATAATCATCGTTATTATACTCATCATAATCATTACAACAATCCTCACCATCATCACAATCATCATCAGCAGCAGCAGCAAAACCATCACAATCATCATCATCAGCAGCAGCAGCAAAACCATCACAATCATCATCATCAGCAGCAGCAGCAAAACCATCATAATCGTCATCAACATCATCACAGCTATCATCATCATCATCCTCACCATCATCACAGCCACCATCATCATCATCACAGCCACCATCATCATCATCACAGCCACCATCATCATCATCATCAATATCGAAACTCCCTAACAACAAAGACTTCTTGCAGCCTAACTTATTGGGCAGAATCGGCCTTGACATTGGAAGGTTGGAGGTCAGGTAGCGAGAGGGAAGGTGGTGGGTAGGGTGATGGTGAGGGTTACTGGAAAATTATTATTATTATTATTATTATTATTATTATTATTATTATTATACATAATACATACACGTACATATCATTATCGTCCATTAACACCGTCATCACCATCATTGCATCATTACTATCACCCCCATCAACCTCCTCATCATCATCATCATCATCATCGTCGTTCTCGTAGCTTACTTAGTATCTTTGGCCATCTCATGAAGCGGATGTTGTTGGTAGTGACCAAAGACCTCAAATAGCAGAGGCTGCGTTTGCAGGTAGTCCAAGAAAGACAGTGTGACTACCGTACTAAACTGAAATTATTATTATTATTATTATTAATAGTAGTAGTAGTAGTAGTAGCAGTAAGTAGTAGTAGCAGTAAGTAGTAGTAGTAGTAGTAGTAATGGTAGTAGTAGTAAGTAGTAGTAGTGGCCGCTGCCATCTTCGCTAACGTTTTGATGATGATTGATAGCAAGCAGAGGTTTCCCGCCATTTTTAATGGGCTCCGTCGAAAATGCTTCACTCAATCTATCCAGGAAACTGGGCGATGAATGAATGAAGGAATTAAAAAAAAAACTGGTTATTATTATTTTTAAAATGTTCTAGTAGAGCAAGGTTGTCGGTAAGTATGTCAAGGTCGAGGACCATTTTCTGGGTCACTTTTTATTTGTGAAAGGTCAAAGTTTGTAAAGGTCACAGATTGTGAAGGTCAAAGTTTGTAAAGGTCAATGTTGTAAAGGTCACAAGTTTCAAAGGTCGTAGGTTGAGAAAATTATTCTTTAAATATTTAGATCGGTCAAAATCATACCCATAAAAATAATTATAGTAAATTAATTATGATAATAACTTTCATGTTTAAAAAAACAAACTCCGCCTACTTAAACTGACAAAAGACGTCTGCGTATTTGGGGGAAATGCCCTCGAGGTGCGTGATGCTGACCCGGAACGAGAAGGTTGACCCAATTTTCAAATGTGGGTGCAGGTTGGTGAAGTTTGCCTCGTTTATTGAGCTGTTGTTGTTGTTTGATGACGTTGTTGTCGTTTGGGGTTGTTGGGAGCGGTTTTCTGGGGTGGGACAGAGGTCAGGGTTCATCATCATCTTCACCAGCATCATCATTATCATAATTTTCAATGTCACCATCATCAACTTCATCTTCACTGTCACCATCATCATCGTCGTCATCATCTTCACTATCATCATCACCACTAACATCTTCACCATTATCATCACCACCATCATCTTCACCATCATCATCGTCACCATCATTCTCACCCTCATCGAGTTCTTGCCTCCCCTCCACTACCCTCAGTTCCTCATTCGAAATATTTTTCGGCATTTGCTGACCAAGCGTCACTTCACCCAATTTGGCCTTCTGCTATTGGTCGGGAGTAATTATGACGTCATCGACACGTCGTAATCATCATCACCATCATCATCGCCCTCATCATCATTACCATAACTATGAGTATACCTTCTCGTAATAGGTGTCATCGTCAAATGTTATTTTGGCGTGGCTTGTTTGCTTCAAACCGGCCACCACACTAATCGCTCTGTTGCTATCTGCTGAAAAAATTATTAAATTATTCTTATTATTATTCTTATTATTATTATTTTACTGTTATTTATTTTATCGTTATTACTACTTAACCGATTTTAAATATATTTTTTTACTCTCAAGCACTTGCCGATCAGAGAGCAGGCGAGGATCGAACATTATATTCTACATCTTATTTATTTACACTCTGATATATAATTAATAATTTTCAATCGATTTCATTTGGATTTTATTCTTTCGGTCAATAAAAGAATGTTCCCAGTATTGTTGTTGTTATTCTAAAAACAAAATAGAAATCCTAGAATCAACTGTCTGCCATGAAACCAACCTTGGATCTTCCAGACAATACAAAAAGAAATGAATACTGGAATAATTTACTATCATCGCTTGAATTACAATTACAACCGTTCCAAGATTACTAGTAATTTATTCGAAATAACGCCCATTGGTTTTTATAACAATTTTAACTTTAATAACAATTTTAACTTTTATAACAATTTTAACTTCAATTTTATAACAATTCTTTCTCTATTTAAAATTTTGCCGCTGAATTCATTCAGTGACATGTTAATAAGTGAAGTGATAAAATCTTGGGGCAACATATTTATTATTTATAACATATTTACAACATATTTATTGTGATAGAAACACGCTATGATACTAATTTAAATATGTTATATTTTATTAATTTTACAAATTTTATTAACGCTACAATATTTTATTTTATTTATTTTATCTAATCATTTGATTTCAAAGTCTTGAGATCAATAAAAATTATTCCATCATTGTTACGGTTAAAATTTTTTGTGTTTTGGTTTGTGTGGCCCGGTAGGGTAATTATTAAAAGCTGCTAAAAAGTGATCTTCGCCGATGACATCATATGCGTGAGAAAGAAAGAAAGAAAGAAAGAAAGGAAAAAAAAGAAAGAGAAAGAAAGAGAGAGAGAGAAGGAGAGAGAGAGAGAGAGAGGAGATTTTCGTTGTATAAAAGTCCGTTATAAGGAAGTCCGACTGTGATAAATATTAAATAATTTTATAATAATATTAAAAATTATTGTTGCGTGACCTTGAGAGGTCAGGGCCTGGACAGTGACGTGGATGTATCCTTTGACGTCACCTCTGTCGTTCACAATGGCCACTTTGTGACGTAATTCAACCGGGAAATAGAGGTTGGACAAATGGACGAACGCTCTGTGATTGGTAGGTTTGTTTGAGTGGTTGATTTTTATTGGTCAGTTGTTTAATTAATGATTGATTATGTTTAGAATAACGTCTTGTGATTGGTCGGTCGAATTTGATTGTGATTGATTGTGATCAGACGAATGTACGACAATTCTCTGATTGGTCAGTTTTTCAATGATTGATTTTGATTGGTTAGTTGTTCAGTGGTTGATGTCTGTGAAACAATGTTTAGTAACTGCTTAACTAGATTAAATTAATGTCAACCATCCACCAACCAACCAATCAACCAACCATCCAACCAATCAACCAACCAACCAACCAACCAATCAACCAACCAACCATCCAACCAATCAACCAACCATCCAACCAATCAACCAACCAACCATCTAACCATCTAACCATCTAACCAACCAATCAACCAACCGACCAACCAACCAATCGACCAACCAATCGACCAACCAATCGACCAACCAATCGACCAACCATCCAGTCAACCAACCAACCAATCAACCAACCAACCAACCAATCAACCAACCATCCAACCATCCAACCAATCAACCAACCAACCATCCAACCAATCAACCAACCATCCAACCAATCAACTAACCAACCATCCAACCAATCAACCAACCAACCATCTAACCATCTAACCATCTAACCAACCAATCAACCAACCGACCAACCAACCAATCGACCAACCAATCGACCAACCAATCGACCAACCAATCGACCAACCAACCATCCAGTCAACCAGCCAACCAATCAACCAACCAACCTCCCAATAATCTTGAACCAGGGGAAGCGATCGTAAAAAGGATCATTACCATGAGAGTGAAGGGGATAGAAAGATAGTGAGGAGGACGGTGAGAGGAGAGATTCCATGTCCTGCTGGTACATCTCTCGCATCTGCACTAAACGTTGTCTGGTGGGGGGGGAGGGTGATGATGACGATTATAATGGTGATGATGACGATAATGATGTTGATGATGATGATAATGATGATGATGACGATAATGATGATGATGATGACGACGACGATGACGACAACAGCAGCAACTGACCTCATCTTTTCCAGGCTCCAATAATGCGTGGCCCCATTTTTTTTGTCCTTCACCTCGACGGCCACCAGGGTTTTAGGGTGTGACCTGCTCACGTCATCGTCGCGGTCATCCTGGGTCAAGAGGTCAGAACTTAGGGGGGAGTATTTTGTGTCGGTGAGTAGGACAAACTGGAAGCTAACCTGAGAGAACGAGTGAGTGTAAAAATGAATCAGTGAGCGAATGATTGGATAGCTGAATAGATGAATGAAAATGAATAAACGAACGAACGTACGAACAAATGAAAGAACGAATGAACGAACGAACGAACGAACAAACGAACGAACGAACGAACAAACAAATAAATGAATGAATGAATGAGTGAATGAATAAACGAATGGAGTAAAGACTTTTTTATCCAGTTCGACACTTATCGAGTTGGCCTCTTTCAAGAAGACAGCATTACCCCAGAGATCGTCCTGCATAGAATTTTAAATAAAACATCAAACATCATACAACTTTCAATCAAGTTAGCGCTATATAAATAACAACAACTGTAACACACACACGCACACACGCACGCACACACACATAAACACGCACACACGCACACACACCCTTAGTGATGTAAATTGATGACATTTCCATTTAAGGAAGGCTCTCTCCACTAACGTCCTCTCTTTCTCAGACCACGTGCACTCTTCTGAATTATTCATAATTAGATAATTATATAATTAAATAATTATTACCATTATAAAATAATAATAATTATTATTTTATTATGATTTATTATTATTATTATTATTATAACTTACTATTATTATTTTACAAAATATTACACAAAATTTATTCATTTATCATCAAAAAAAGCAGCAGCTGTTGTAGCCGCAATAATAGTAATAGTAGTAGTAGTAGTAGCAGCTGTAGTAGCGATCGTAGCGATGCTAACCAGGTGTGGCATCGTCATCATTATCAAGATCGTCCGGCAGTAAGCTGGACATCATGGACTGCCTGTCCACTTGTTCCTGCAAGGTAGCTATCTTGCATTCGTAATCCTGATTATGATGATGATGATGATGATGGTGGTGATGATGATGATGATAGTGGTGATGATGATGTTGATGATAATTATGATACTGTTGATGATGGTGGTGGTAATGATGTTGTTGATGATAGTGGCGATGATGTTGTTGATGATGATGATGATGTTGATGATGATGTTGTTGATGATGGTGATGATGATTATGATGTTGTCGATGATGATGGTGGTGATGATGTTGATGATGTTGATGTTGATGATAATTATGATGCTGTTGATGATGGTGGTGATTATGATGTTGAGGATGATAAAAAATAGAACGATCACGTGATGATATTACGTCATCAACAACAACAACAACGTCATCCTTACCTTTCTCTGTTGTTCGAAATATTTTTCTTTCTCCTGTTTCTCTTTTGAAAATTGTTCCTCGAGTTCTTTCAGTCTGCAAAAAAAAGATGAAAATTTTCCATTTATATAGCGCTTGATGTTTAGTTTCGAGAACTTTTCAGGATTGAACTTTCCAAATATGCAAATCTGTGGCTTTGTTTGTATGCCTGCGTGTGTGTCTGAAAATATATCTATGCAATTATTATTAATGAAAATCACAGCATGCTCTTTGTTAGTTAGCTTCAGGTTTAGTTTTTCGATTCTCGTCATCATCACGAGTCGTCATCATCATCATCATCGTCATCATACTTAGCCTCCATCTCTTTCTTAAGATCGATTCCTTGTTTTTCTAGCAGCTCCGACTGTGCGAACGTCCAATCAGCTGACTCTGGACAGAATAATCATAATAATAATAATATAAATAATAATAATAATTATAATAATAATATTAATAATAATAATAATAGTGACCCTGCTTCATGATCTCCTCTATGCTGTTGGTCATCTTCCTGTCCGCCATTTCTCTGGCTGTTTATTATTATTGTTATGTTATTATAACTATAATTATTTTTATTCTTATTTTTATTCGTTATTATAATTAGTATTATTATTATTATTGTTATTATACCTTGTATGGGATTATTGAAACGAAACACGTGACTCTTGCCGAAAATAATCCTTGACCCCGTGACGAGTTCAACACGGGTCGTGACCTCCTTACCATTGACGTAACAGAGTGCCAGCTCACAAGGGGTCAAGGTCACTTTACCTGATTGGTTGATTGGTTGGTTGATTGGTTGGAGAAACTGATTGTTTGATTGAGAGGGCAACAATTAACAACAATAAATTTAAGTTAATTAAACCAAATTAAACAAAAAATAAAACCATTCACCTTGTGCATTGTTGAAGACGCAATGTTCATCTAGAATGAGCGAGCCATTCAGTTGGATATCCTGGACCACCCCCGACTCACAATGGGCCCGCCCAACTCGGGTTATACCATCTTTTATGTAGTACAGCAAGCATTCGGACATGAGCGAATCTTCGTTCAAGTTAACTAAGTGCGGGGTCTAAGAAAATTATGATGAAAAAAATTATTTTTAAATAATTAGTTGTTATTATTTTATTAGATATTTAATATGACTAAATAAATATCAAAAAATAATTATTAAATAATTAAAAAATCAATTTTTTGAAATTTATAAATATAAAATTCTGGCCATTTTAGGTGAGAACACTCCGACCAATGAGCTGTCGTCCTTCAGAGCCACGCCCATCTCTGCTAGCACCGCCTCTCTGAATAAATTAACATAATTAATCTAACTAATCAATCAATCAATCAACCAATCCAGTCATGTCGTCATTTCATTTATTCATTTACACGTTCGCTAATTTGTTCGTTTATTAACGCTCCTAAAAAATTTCATTCATTCATTCATCCATCCATCCATTCATTCATTTATTTATTCATTCATTCATTCATTCATTCATTCATTCATTCATTCATTCATTCATTCATTCAATCAATCAATCAACCAGCTAACTAATCAATTCTCAACCTTTCAATCCTCACTCTTTCAGTTCTCTTCAGTTTATCCTCCCATGTTTCATTTAATTCTTTTACTAATTTTTCCGCAGCCTTCAATCTCTCTATCATCTCTGAGTTCGTTTTATCTGGTTCCATCTCTATGTCGTCTGAGGGTGATGATGATGATGATTGTGATGATGATGGTGATGATTGTGATGGCGATTGTGATGATGATGATTGTGATGATGATTATTGTGATAGTGATTATTGTGATGATGAGAATTGTGATGGTGGTGATGATGGTGACGATGATGATGACGATGGTGACGATGATGAAACCTGACGACATGGTCATTTTCATGCTTCTATACATTGCGCCATCTATGAACATGATGAATTTAACATCATCCTCATCATCATCATCCTCTTCATCATCATCATCATCATCATCATCATTATCATTTACATTATGATTTGGATGGCAGTGAAAGAAAGTGGTGTAATGTTGGAGTGCCTGCCTTCTGTGCTGCCGTGCCTGAGTTCGATTGCAAATAATTCCCAGACCAAACGCGTATTACAGAAGACGCATTAATATTATTAGTATTATTATTATTATTGTTATTATTACTATCATTAGTCATCGTCATAATCATCGTCATAATCATCACCAAAGCGTGACGTCATCCCCAAATCTCTCTCCCCTCACCATTCCCACTCACCGTCTCCATTTCCAATAACGATCCCCTCCAATCTCAATATCTCTCTCAACTTCTCGACCTCCTCCTTCAGCTCTCTGATCAGTTTGGCGTTCGGGTCTTCATTCACCACTGCCTTGCACATTATCTGCTTGGCCCTGTCCGCATATCTGAACCAATGAGTAAGTGAATGAATGAATGAATGAATGAATGAATGATTGAGTGAATGAATGAATGAGTGATTGAGTGATTGTGTGAGTGAGTGAGTGAGTGAATGAGTGAGTGAAGGAGTGAAGGAGTGAAGTAGTGAAGGAGTGAGTAAAGGAGTGAGTGTGTGAGTGAATTAATTAATTAATTAATGGATAAATAAATAAGTCAATAATCAAACTTGTTAAAAAAGGAATAAATTAACGAAAAGATAAATTAATAGTGGTTGAAAATAAGAGAGAGAATAAATAAACGAATGAATGATTGATTGAAAGGATGAACGAACGAACGAACGAACGAATAAATGGATGAATGAACGAACGAACGAACGAACGAATGAATGAATGAACGAATGAATGAACGAATGAATGACAAAATTATAACCTCAGTGTGCTAAGCGTTTCATCGTAGTTGATGTCTGCCGGGCTTATAGCTGCTATCATTGCCGTCTTCGAGTTACCGCCTTTTAATTATAAATAATAATTAATTACTTTTATTATTATTATTATAATAATTATTATTATTATTAATAGTAGTAATAGTAGTAGCAGTAGTAGTAGTAGTAGTCTTGTGTTAGTAGTAGCAGTAGTAGTAGTAGTAGTAGTAGTAGTAGTAGTAGTAGTAGTAGTAGTAGTAGTAGTAGTAGTAGTAGTAGTAGTAGTAATAGTAGTAGTATTAGTTGTAGTAGTAGAACTAGTATTGTATTAGTAGTAGTAGTAGTAGTATTGCAGTAGTAGTAGTAGAAGTATCATTATCATTATTATTATTATCATCAGTATCATTATTATTATTATCATCAGTATCATTATTATTATTATCATCAGTATCATTATTATTACTATTATTATTATTATTATTATTGACCTAGATTCTCCCTCAGTAACCAGGTCAGTACGGAGTCCCTGTATGGTATGAAATCGGATTTCTTTTTCTTTTTATTCTGCTAAAATGTATTATTATTATTATTGTTGTTGTTTATTATTATTATTATTGTTTATTATTATTATTAGCAGTAGTAGTAATAGTAGTAGTAGTAACAGCAAGAGTAGTAGTAATGACGATAATGATAAACACACTTACCTTTATATTATCTGCGCTCTGGAGAGAAAAGGTAATAAAAAATTTAAAAAATTATCAAATAATTATTTCTATTGTTATTATTATTATTATCAATCATCATCATCACCAACATCATTCTTATCACCCTTTTCACCGCCACAACCATCACCATGTTTTTTGCAGATATGGTGAGAGAGTTTGGTGGCAGTGATTATCCAGCTAAGCCATTTGACGAACGGCAATCCAACGCCTTTGCAAAAATCAGGTCACAGGGCAGTTCCATTCAACAGAAACTGCCCTACTACCTGTCCTATCAAGTTTGTCTGTTGCTACAGACTCCCAAAGCATCTCATTCCTACCCTTTCTCGACATGTCAGCGAAATTTGATTGTGTCAGCCTTGAAGTTCTTTTAATAAAGTTACACCAGATCGTACCCCTCGAATCGCTTCATTTCAAAGTTCACTATCTGATATTTCAATAACTACATCGGCGGTATCTCAAGGCTCAGTTGTGTCTAGAGTGTTATCTATCTCAGAAGAATGTATCTATTCAGGCAATCACTAGATAGGTCAACATTAGAAAGGCTGGCCCATGCTTTCTCATTACATCTCGTTTAGATTGTTGCAGTAGTTTGTTTTATAAACTATCAGTCACGTCAATCACAATCCTTTACATCAGTAAAAAACTGAGCTATGAAATTTGTTACTGGCGGCCTAAGATTTGATCATGTGACACCGACCTTGAACGAGTTTCACTGGCTGGCGTTGTTAAATAAAAGGATAGTCTCCAAAATTGCAGTTCTTACGTTCAAATCATTGAGTGGCATTTTGCCAGAGTATATGACAATTAAATTAGTGAACAATTGAAAAGATTTTTATTTTTTGTTAAACTGTGAAAACTGTTACTTCTTTAATTTTTCTTTTTCATATCTAGTCACGTAAGTATTGTGAAACTCTTTTCATTAGCGCTAACAAATTGCTCTTAATAAATATAATAATAATAATAATCCATATCCTAACCAGTTCGGCCAACGCCGAGATAACTTTTCCAAGAGTAGTCAGGGACTTATTTATGTTGGCCCCCTCCTTCAATCTCGTTCCTTTGGCCCCCGTCGAGTCGGCCCTTTCACTCCCCGCTAGGTCCACCAAACTTATCTTGCTTACCTGTCGATGGGTTGGGTTGGGTTTTTTTTAGGTTTTTATTTATTCCGTATATTTACATGCATGCGTTCATTCATTCATTCATTCATTCATTCATTCGAACTTTTTCTCCGAGTATATTTGAGTCGTGGTCGTAGCGCTTTTGTGTGAGAACGATCGTGAAGACGGCGTGAGACCTGCTGCTGGTCTCGTTCATGTTCGTCGCCGCAACCGTTCTGTTGTTGCGGTTCAAAAATTGTTTGTCATTCATTCATTCATTCATTTTTTCATCCATTTGTTCATTCCTTCATTTATATATTTATTTATTTTTATATATATTTATTTATTTTTTTATTTATACAGTTCGTTTTTGGTTTGCTGCGTTCACTCAATCATTTGCTCGTTCATACGTTTGTTTATTCATTTGTTCAGGCGTTCGTTCGTTCATTCGTTCATTCATTCATTTTTTTCTTTCTTTCATTCATTTATTCATTCATTCATCTAACTTTCCCAGAAAAAAAAATGTTAACCCACCAGCATCAATCTTACTTGAACAACAACAACAGTACAAAAAAACAACAACAAAATATGAACCCTTTAATAAACACATGAAAATACCATTTCAAAAAGAACAACACCAATCTAACATCAACATCCATAATAACATCCATCAAATTTCACTAGCAAAAAATAAAGAATCATCCAAAACTCAAATTAACATCGATCTAACCTCGCTTTATTCCCTTCGTCAATGAGACTGTTAATATCGAAAAATGAAGTGACGACGAGTTTAGATAGATCTTCAACGTACGGTCCCAAAAGGGGGTGTTCACGCACCCGCAGATTGCCCTTGTTTTTGGGGTTAAGTAGGTCACGAACGTGTTCGCAGTAGATTTCCATGTAACTGACCTAATTAATTTTTTGGGGTCATGATGATGGTGATGGTATTGATAATTAATATGACAGAGGATGATGATTGGACGATGATGGCCATTATAATTTCTACGTTAACAACGCAATACTACTACTGCTGCTGCTGCTGCTGCTACTACTACTACTGCTGCTACTGCTACTACAACTGCTGCTGCTGCTACTACTACTGCTACTACTACTGCTGCTGCTACTACTACTACTACTGCTACTATTAAGAATAATAATTAAAATAATTATAATATGATTCGCTTCAACCTCAACATTATAAGCAATATCCATTGACTCCTTGTTCTTTATCCTGTTGAATAAGTCTTCGCAGAGCTGGCAAGGATGATGATGAAGAGGATAATGATAAAATGGCGATGATGATGATGATGATGAAATGGCGATGATGATGAGAATACCTACAAAATACACAACAAAAATCAACAAAATATTTATTTAGGTCATAATGTTTATATATTTTAGGTATATGGAGATATATTTTTTGGTAAAATTTGAAAAAGTATCCACCTGAGGTATGATTCCGGATTGGCCCGGATCGCATCGTCCCATCATGGTGTAACTTTTTCCCGCTCCCGTCTGTCCGTACGCGAAAATGCAGACGTTGTATCCGTCCATGGCATGTTCTAACATCTCGACGCCTATGTCTTCGTAAACCTGCTTCTGGTCGGCGAAACTTTCATCTTCGGGCTTTTGGTTTTGATTGGTTGGTTGGTTGGTTGGTTGTTTGGATGGTTAGCTGGTTGGTTGGTTGATTGGTTGGATGGTAGGTTGGTTGGTTGGATGATTGGTTGGTTGGTTGTTTGGATGGTTAGCTGGTTGGTTGGTTGATTGGTTGGTTGGATGGTTGGTAGGTTGGTTGGCTAACAATGAACAAATAAAATTTTAGACGTACCGATAGTGACCAATAGGAATGGTCATAGCTGAAAGTATGCATTCTACCAAAGTCATGTCCGGGTCTTGGATCTATAATTGCTGTTAATGATGATAATGATGACGATGATGACGACGATGGTGATGATGGTGGTGGTAGTGGTGGTGGTAATGATGGTGATGATTATGGTCGGTAAAATGATGATATGATTGTGATGCGGAAGAGTTTAACGGTGAATAAAATAATCACTATAGCGAGATTTTTGATAAACAACATCACAATCATCATCGTCTTCGTCATCATCACCATCATCGTCTTCGTCATCATCACCATCATCGTCTTCTTCATCATCGTCTTCATCATCATCATCATCGTCTTGATCATCATCATCATGACAAACTTGTGGAATTCCCACTCATCTCTATTATGGACACTGCCTCTCTGGCCAGTTCCCTGTTATTGAAAGGTCGAACCCTGACGGCCACCTTAACTGACGACATCCTGACCTAGTTGTTTGACTATTTTTACTGAATATCTAGGTCAGGTTGTTTTACCCTTTTATTGAGTCTCTAAGTCAGGTTATACTCTCAAATTCGCCGGTTGAATTTTTTTAATTTTAGGCAAATGTTAGTGGTTCACGCTTTTCAAGAGGTGGATTCCGTAAAATGTCTTGTGTATGTATACTTTTAGAAATTACATTTAAATAGGTCAAAGTTCAATTAATTATGAAGGTCAAATTTATGCATTTCGGTCGGTCAGTTATATGTCTATGAATACATGTCAAATCTATTTATCTTATATGTGTGTGGAATGGATTTAAGGTTGATTTCCAGGTTTTAAAAAAATGGCTCGATCAGTTTTGTATGTGTGGGTCAGATCTGTTTATGTAGGTCAGATCTGTTTATGTAGGTCAACTTCGTTTATATAGGTCAACTTTGTGTGCGCCAGATTTCTTTGTGATAGATCAAATATGTTGATTGGATGGTTTGGTTGTTCTTGCTTAAACGCATCAACACTGATGACTTGAAGAATCGTTTCGACTTGTTTCGTTTTGTTTCGTTTCGTTTTGTTCCTTTCCAAGTGATATAACCTATCTGTAAAGAAAATAACGATACTTTTGTCAATTTTTTTTACATAATTTTTTCAACAAAATTAGACAAACAACAATTATAAAAATAAACGCTTTTAAGAAAATAAATTCGCAATTGTTTTAAACTCATTAAAAAATATAAAAAAACACTTTTTTTAATCTAATAGAGATATCGATAAAGATAATTATTAAGGTAGGTATTTGTAGATACATACGTACGTAAGTAAGTGCCAATGTATGTTTGTAATACAGGGAAAATATTGACTGAAAAAGTTATCAAAAACAAAATCGATCACTTTTTTTAGGCATTTTTGAAAAATTTTCACTGATTTTAAAATTGGAATCACAAAAAAATTTGGCACTCAATAAAATTTTCAACATCCACCTCATCGCGAATAATTCGATTAACACACAAACAATAGTAATCTTACTCTTCTTCTTGCTCTTGACTTTTCTTCAGCTTTTGATACTGTTGACCATACTATTCTCTTGAGACTGCTGCATCTTTCTTTTAATATTACTTATTCTTGTCTATCTTGGTTTTCTTCTTATCTCTGTAATCGTTTTTCTTCTGTTGTTCTCAATAATTCTACTTCTAACTCCTCTACTCTTACTTTCGGGGTACCTCAGGGTTCTATCCTTGGCCCTCTTCTATTTATACTCTATACTTCTGAACTACCTCGTATTATTAATAACTTTTCTTTCTCTAGTCAACTATATGCTGATGATTCTTATATTTATACTTCTTTTCCTCCATCTAATCTCAATAATGTTCTTCATAATTTATCTCTATGTCTTTCTTCGATTATCGCTTGGTCTGATTCTATGTGTCTTAAACTTAATCCTTCTAAGTTTGAATTAATTTGTTTTAATAAATCTAAACACTCAATTACTATTCCTCCTATTATCTTACCTGATTCTAAAACTCTTGATGTCTCTCATAAGTTTCGTAGTCTAGGTTTTATCTTTGATTCTACTATGTCTCTCTCTTCTCAGATTAATAGTGTTGCTAGAAGCTCTTACTTTCATCTACGTAGAATAAAAAAACTTTTGCCTTTTCTTGATGATCCTACTCTTCTCCT